TTGCGGGCAAGCAGTCTGTCACGGGGGGACAGAATGTAGAGAGACGCCCAGTGGGAGTGGGGGGGCAGTTGGGGGTGAGCAGGCCGGTAGGCAGAGTGGTTAGGGGTGATCAGGCAGGCAGGCAGGTGAGCAGTTAGGAGCCAGCTGTCCCGGGTTGCGAGAGGATCGGGCCTAAACTGGCAGTCGGACATCCCCTGAGGGGTCCCACATTGGAGAGGGTATAGGCCAGGCTGAGGGACACCCCCCACCCCTGTGCATGAATTTTGTGCACTGGGCCACTAGTATAAATATAAATATAAAGATATCTACTGTGACATTCAAAATTGTGTAAAACTTGGAAGCTACCTAATGGGCATCAGCAAGGAACTAGTTAAATAAGTTACAATACATTAATTCATTGGAATATTTATACAGCCATAACTAAATAGACTTATATGTGCTAAGAGGTCATATGGAAAGATCTTAAAGACATACTATTAACTAGAAACAAAATGGAGCCAAAACCTCAAGGTTCAGAACATTCCCGTGAAAGAACAAAAGATATATTCACACTTTTTTTCCTTGCTGGAAAAATAGGTTGTTAACCTCTGGTTTCTCTTCTGTACTTTTTCATTTTTTAAAATCAGGTACAAACATTACTTTTTCATTCCTTTTATAATCATCATAATAAAAAAAAATTGGGGCAATGTTTAAGGTATAGAGGAGGAATCAGGGCACAAGATAGAGAAGGAATGACTGAAGATACGGTGATATGGTAGTGTAGGGAGGAATGAACTTTTTGGAAACAGTTAATAATGTCTAATGCTGCCTAGAGAGCCAAGTTAAAAAGTGTTCATTGTTTTTGTCAGTTAGGAAGTGATCATTTCAAGAGCAGTTTCAATCAGTGGACTGAGTAGAGGGTGAGGAAGTAGACATAGGCTTTAGGTGAGCATTTCAGGGCAACAGGTGGAAGTTGAGGGAGAGATTTTTTGTTTTTTAAGATGGGCAGTTCTTGTATTTATATTCTTAAAGAAGATTGTCAATGGAGAGATGGAATAAACCCTGGTACTACTATTTAAATAAACCATTTGTGAAGGAGGGAATAGTTCTGTGATTTGGTTTTCTAGTCTTTTTAAAAATATATCTTTATTGATTTTAGAGAGGAAGGGAGAGGGAGAGAGATAGAAACATCAATGAGGAGAAAGAATCATTGATCAGCTGCCTCCCATTGGGGATTGAGCCCACAACCTGGGCATGTGCCCTGACGCAGAATCCAACTGTGACCTCCTGTTTCATAGGTTGATGCTCAGCCACTGAGCCACTCTGGCTGGGCTCTAGTCTTTTTTTCATTCAGTGCAGTGTTTGCCAAACCTCAGACAGGTTAATTGTAACCTTCATGAATTCTCTATTTGTGTAAATCCTGTGCTATTAAAAAAAAAAAACACCCTTGATTCTTTTTAGCTTAAGTGCACTTATTTTCAGAGAAAACATTTTATTGGTATCATAAATGGAAAACAAAGTATTTTTTCTAATACACATTAAAGAATATCCAACTTTTAAAAATCATTTGGCTGCGAGTCAGCTAAAATAATCATGTACCACACTTTGGAAACACATAGGCAGTTAACATAGTGTATAATCTCTGTAGGTCGCTATGCTTGAAGATGGAGTAGAAAATCACTTTAGGCAGTGTCTAATCTTAATCTCAAGGAGTCAGAGATAAAATTGGCCCAAATATATACAAAGACACAAAGTAGGAAATAATATGTCCTAAGAGAGGTATGCATGAAGTACTATGAGAATTCCTATGAGGGAGTTCTGGAAGTCTTTCATGGAGGTCAAGGCTATTAAGCTGAGGCCTAAATGATTGGTAAAATGTGTAATTTCAGAAATGGAAGAGCATTTCAAGAAGAAGGAACCTTGGGCACAAAGGCAAGACGATGGGAAAGTTTATAATTCAGTTTGCCTAGAGCAGTGGTTCTCAACCTTGGCTGCACATTAGAATCACCTGGGAATCTTTAAAATCCTGATTTCTGGGCCTCATCCTCCGGAAATTAAAGAAACAGAATTTCCGGAGAATGAGGCCCAGAAATCAGGATTTTAAAAAGATTCCCAGGTGATTCTAAGGTGCGGCAAGGTTGAGAACCACTGGCCTAGAGCCTACGACTTGGGAAGGGGTGAGGTGGAAAAATAAGACAGGAAAGGTAGATTCCAGTCAGATTCTTAAAGTCCA